ATTCAGCACAGTTTCATGGGTCTATAAAAACCACTAATTACGAACAGCTAACGTATGATTTTAGTCATTGTTCTGTATGATTTYTTAAGCCAAATGTACATTGTATTGTTAATTCTTTTATAGTTTATACTTAATTGCAGATCTTGAGGTGAACTACACCATGTACAATTATAATGACATCAGTTGGTGCTGTTTGACTTTCAATCACAAATGATGTAGATAAACAACCTTAGGAAAGAGTGGGTGGTTATATGGAGATGTTCCCTCCTGATATGATTCAGTGACATTTTCATGACTTTTGGTGAAATCCTATTTCTTTGCACATTTCCACTATAAGATTTATGGGTCCATTATGTACAAGAGCACACAACATATTACATGTCCAAAAGTACTTGAAAAGTTGCAAATGAATAAATAAATGCAACTGAAATTATTCCTAGTAATTTTTATAAAATACTCTAGTATTAAACCCTGGAAAACTTACTAGTTGTGTTTATCATCGCAAAGATAATAATTGTCCCCAGCAACAATTAAAATGAAGGTTCCACAATATCTACCAATAGAAACCTTGATAAAGATGATAATAGTTATCATGATTATAGAGTGAATACACTATCTCATTCCATCAACAAACGTTTGACTGGTTTAGTGTGTCCACTCTAACAAGAATGCATCCAGTAAAAGCACAAACATTCAGTAATAACTGCAAAAAAGTTGGACAACAGAAATAGAAACGAATTAGCATAACATAGTACACAATTAGTGTTACTAAAATGTTACATGCTTATGCTGAAAGCACTCTAATTATTACAATATGTCTTCTTTTTAATAATTTCCTTAATAAATACACTGTTTTTTTTAATATAAACTTATGTTAGGGGCAAACAAAGGCTTATTAAAATACTGAATGGTAATTGCCTGTTTTTAAAAAGAACTGTTTCACAGTTAACATGCTAATAAGTTAATACATAATATTGTTACTGCTTTCAACGCTGTCTTATATTTCTTTAGTGAATATATGCAAATACCTCTTTATATTATGCTTCTTGTCCCTCCCTTTCCCAGGCTATGAAAGAGGCTAGTATATTATAAGACTACTCAATGACAGAGCCACTTTTCTTTACCAACTGCAAAGTTAGAAGAAGAATGGCTCTCYAAATAAAGTATGGTAACATCATACCCATAAAATACTTGTGTATTGAATAGCAAAAATTAAGCATAACCATAGACCATTTACTTAAAGGCACCATTTTAAGCACTTTTGTTTGTGATGTTTTAATGTTACTTTCTTTCCTMTTGAGAAAATAATAAATTTGTTTACTAAAATGAAAAGGGCATTCTGGCAGTGTCTGTGAAATGAGACCCTCAAGCAAATGTTCTATTCATAAAACTAGTACAATAATTATATTCTGAGTGTGTAGTGTAAAGAATTTGTGGTGATTGAATTCTAAACAGCACTTAGAGTCATCCAGACACCAACCTGTAGTGAGAATCATATTATAAGTTTTAGAAAGATGTATAATTTTTTTATAAGACACTAAATTTTATAAAGATGATTTACCTTTAGTCATCCTGTACAGTCATGGTCTCAAGGTCATGCCATTGAATATGTAGCTGATTAGGGTTTTTCAGAGTTTCATACCAGTGTTTTAGTGCAGCTCCTTCAGCTTTGATATGCAGGACAACTCCCCCTGAACACACACACAAGTATATTAAATTAACTGGTATTCAAACAAATAATTTTCTAGTTTTATTGTAGCAGCCCTCCATGCTTGTCCACAGGCATCCCAACAGCAACCCTATGCATGTTTACTAGTATTCTTCTGTTCTGATTTCACAAATTTATGATAGTGAAAACTAGTAGAGTACAAACACTAAAACTGTGCAACATAAATACCACTAAATACTGCTAAATTATGGTATTGTTTTCTATTGTTTAATCAACACTATTTTGTAGTAAATAGTGGCAAGTGTTGCACACATTTAAATGTTTGTACTCTACTAAGAAAGTAAATTGACTTGAATAATAAATAAAGTGCATATCATTCTTGTCTACTATGTTTCATTACATTATTCTTGTTACATTCCATACCAATAAAATCATTGCTTTTGCCAACATCATAATCCCATACAGTGACTTCTAATGATTTCTTGGCTAGTTCATTATGAGGGATTTCATATACAAATTCCTGGAAAAATTAACCACAAGAATATTTGTTACAACAATATAACTGTCTGACAATAATAGAAAAGAAAATATTAACTGTGTAAGGTGACAATATCTAAAATAATAAAATTAAATTATCAAGGATTTATAAAGAGACAAAAGAAAAATTTCAAAAACGTAAAGAAATGTAACCAAAAATGATACTTTACAGATCTAAAATGACTGCAAGTTCTGATAAACGTGGTTAACTCGTGGATTACACTACATACGCACCTCGTTAAATTCCGGGTTCAATGTTTTCTTCTTTATCGTTGTTCTTCTTTTAGTCTTCTTATTCGGGTCTGGTTTGAGGTAACTTTAAAAAAATAAATAGTATTTAACTAATTTACCAGTGGAAGAGATGACGCAAACGTGAATTTGTCCAAGTTTTTTTTTTTTTTGCGAGAATTTCGAGAAAGTCTAAAGCTAGATATCAAAAAGCATTCTGTCTTGGAAGTATGAATGGTATTTCGCCTGTATGCTTATGAGAATCGTTTATYTATCGTTTATGCAATTCAGAGTAGAATATAATAAGAAGTTAGCCACGTACCATTTCACATAAGGATCAGAATATCCATTAGCGTCCATAGCAGCCAGASCTGAACAGCGGACTATACCCACAAACAGCATGCTTCTTGCCGAATTATACTTGAGAGACAACTGAATGCGACCCAGGTTACTGGAACTGTTAGGAGACGGTGAGTCCTGTGAAATATGAAAGCGAAATTAATTGCGAGATCAATTTAATCTTTATTCAAAATGATACATGTGAACGGAGATAGAACCATTGAAGAAAGCAGAATAAAAAATGAAATCTTCCGTTCTGTTTCGGTTTAGCGGTTTYCGTGAACGTCAAGTCTTAGCGTCACTTTCTAAAGTCTAAGCGCTCCGGTGAGCACAGAGCGCTAGCACAAAACATTCAAGTTCGGAACCACTTATGAACAGGCAATGCCAACAAAGGGACAATCTGTAAACGCTTACTTGACRCCGCCTTTTTAGATTCCCTTTATAAAATAACCGTTTGCGTTTGAACGTTATAACGGCACAAATAAATAACAGTCTTTGATCGCAACGAAGCGTCGCTAACCGAAGAGGATAGAGCGCTACCAAAGACCAATCTCATTCCAGAATCGAAAGTAAAGAGCGCGCAATTACTTTTCTAGTGTGAGAACAACTTGTCAAATTCATCGTGTATTTGCAAAAAACGTCGATGTTTTTCGACATTGCATGAGTCGTTTACGAAAACGTAATAAAAAACTGGCAGTGTCCTGAGAAKAGTGGGCGCAATGGTGTCTCTGAAATCGGAATAAAACAAAACCGCATCAAAACTAGCGCAAATCCGTAAATCTGAAATTGTGGAACCGCGCCAAAAAGCGCGAAATAACAAAGCCGTACACACAAACGYTTCCTTCACGAATGGCTGTACACATGCTACCACAACAAAAATTTTAGGGCCGTAAGTAAGATTTGATATCAGTTTCTCCAAGTCCCTTGGTAAAGATGTTGACCATACTAAGCTATTGAAAAAAAAAMCCGCTGGAAAACCAGTTAGCCCGCRAGAAAACTAAAACCTTAAAAAATAAGCTTGCTAAATCCCAGGCAGGGAATAGAGCAGGAACTACCGCAGTGAAAAACCGGTTTTTAATAACCCGTCRGCTTTTCATTCTCTTCTAATCATTATCTTGATAAAGATAATTACAGTCAATCATGCAGCTCAATTGTAGACGTAAAGACAACAACAAAGTCATTTGCACATATCATAATAATGTAATGTATTGATTGTTCAACCTCAATCAAAAAACGCTTTATCGYAATATTAATAACATTTAACTTGCAAGTAAAATCTGGAGTTTTGAATCAAAATCCTTCGCGGGGATCAATMAAACATTATATKGATATGACTGTTGTTGTCTTTATGTCGTAATGGGATTGCCTGTAAGTAAAGTATATAAGACACACAAGACGTATGCGATAAACCTGAACTTACCTTTCCAGTGTCAATCTTTCAAGGTTCACATTCGTTGAACGAAGAGAGAAAGCAGAAGAACAGAGAAAAGAACAAGATAAGTGAAGGCAGTAAACCCGTGAACAGTAATAAGCACGATTCATAATCGTATTTTGCCGAGTTTCTTTTGTTTTAGAATGAACTATTTCACGAGTTTAGTGCAGTTACAAGATTTACAGTCTAGGAATCTTCTTCAATGCACTCCTTATAATTACGATTTACAAAATGTCAGAGAAATGGATTTTAGTAAAATTCTTGCTTTAATTTCTTTYGCATATTTCATTCTATTAAAATAATCGTGTATGCACTGAAGACTTTTCTTAAAATGTAAATTGGCAAGGAAAAACGAAGATAGATATAGTCTAGTGAGCATGCATTAGAATACAAAAGTGCACGACAAAAACATATATATATATACCCAACTAAGTGCTATAGTGCAGGAACATGTGACTAAGTGCCAATCTCGTACCCAGATCCTTCTCAGTTTATCAACAACAAAAGCGAAGGCTCTGGCTCCCTCCCTTCGCCCTGCTCTGGTTGGAGACGATACCGGAAGACCCAGAATCTTGGTCGTATGATATAGGATGCATGGGAATTGTTGAACAAATCAAAAATAATTTGTTTGTTTTCCGTTGGGAAACAGAACTATTTGGGTACAAGAATGCCAATCTCGTACCCATATCCTTCTCTGTTTGCCAACAACAAAAGCGAAGGCTCTGTTTGGAGACCTGAAGACCTATTGTAGATCTGGGTACGAGAATGACTAAGTGCAACATAGAGTGACAGTTTTGACCAATAGATATTATATTGTGTCGACTTATTGTGTTAATCAGCTTATGTATTTATTTGACACCAAAGAAGAATTTACAGGTGCTAATTAAGCTGAGTGCCGGAACATGAAATACCGTAGTAGTGATGTTATACTTACGAATGCTTTAGCCAGTAGATTTCTTTTAAATGTTTGTGTAGGATTACTATTGAGTACTTTAAGATTAACAGACGTCTCTCCAATAAAGTCATTCCTACCAAGGGTATCTTCATCATAGACTTGGAGCCTGAARGCAGATCAAGGAATCATTTATCAAAAAGAATAAAAACATTACACCTTCCTTAATGGCGAGGAACAATTCTAAGCAACATCGCACTGACATGTCACCTACACCTTTTTAACACATCGAACACCATCTGGTAATCCTTAGTAACGTTGTACAGTCCTTAGCAACGTGTATAACCGTCCCTAGCAACTTAATCCAATTACTTGTTGAAAACATATTTGAATGCTTACGTACGGAAAGAAATCAGAAAACCAGCGCAAACAAACAAACGTAATTATAGTCGAACTCAATTCATTCAATAAAATTTCGTCTCTCAATCCGACTTAACCTTGAAAATATAGATAAAGGTCATTATCTACAAAATCCGGGCTTCCGCTTTTTTGCTTCCCACGCGTCATTTTTAATGCATTCATATCATCGATAATGCTTTGATTTGTATTCATCTTCCGATGGGTTTTCACCCTTGGGCAGATATTCTATAATCTCTATTTATGGACAAGTTCCTGGTGAAAATTGTGAAAACAACAACCGTTCAGTTGTTTTTGGATTTTAGAGTATTTCTTATGCAAATGATCCAAAGGGCATTAAAGCGGATCTCTTTGAGTTGRCTAGCCTTCAGAAAAACGGCTTGTTGTACCGGTATGATGTCTTATCGTTAACTGAATTCCTCTTTATTGAGTCATTGATTGCTATTATTACAGGTTGGAGAGGACTTGGAGGGGGTGCAATAGAGGGTTGGGGTGGGGCCAGTTTGGGGCCTGCTAGTTTGCGTTTTGCCAATAAGCAAGCAAATAAGTTTTAAAAACTGAATTCGTGATAATCGCGGAGATTACCAATGGTTCATTTATTAGGGCTTAATATAAGGGCGCGGAACTGGCGTGTAGTCAAAAAATGACTAACAGATCATGAGCAATATATAACTATTACAAAACAAGGCAACCATAAATTAACGACGAACTAACGATGATTGACGAAGAAACCGTCGGATTTACTGAGTCATTGTTCAGACAAACAAGAGATGATTGARTGAAGGCAAACAAAATTAACAAATTACGTAATGTTCAACAACAACTAGCAATAAATATCTGTAAAAATACCGTCGAATTTATGGATCACTTAGGAATGATTGATTTGACAATTGAGGGATGATTGGCTGATAACAATTACGTGGTGATTGATGCGCGAACGTAGAAAGAATGATAAACGACAGATCAGCAAAAGACCGACGGAAATCCGTCGGAATTACAAATCACTTATGACGTGGGATGACTGACATAGCTAAAAACGTGTGATGATTAAAACACGCTCAATAAACTGACGACAGACCCGACAGTTATAACCAATGAAGTTTGATTGACMGATGACATGCTGGTGACTGACAAGCGAAAACCAGCATGTATAGTAGGAGCTGTCACTGGTGCGGTATCGTCACAGATGTTTGGTATAGGGGCGTATTTAGAGGTTGAAGAAATCGCAAAATAGGAATCTGACCGTAGCTGCAGTGTGAAGGCTCATTTAGTCTATAATGATTCTTTTGATGGCCATGACGTCATGTTGACGTCATGAGATAATTTTGTATGCATAAAAAAGTACTGTATACGCCCTTCACGTTATTACAGCAATACTATTGCTAGCAAAGTGCACTTACCTTAATGTCTTGTTTGATATCTCTTCTTCTGTTATTCCATGGTATGTAAGTGTTTCATCGAACTCAGGGTTCAGCGTCTTGTACTTTGTTTGGCTCCGTAGCTTGTTACTCTGAAATGAAACAAAATATCAAATGACAAGACTTTCCACATTCACATTATGTGTTACAACAAAAACAAACAACAAAAACAAACAACAACAACAACAACAAAAAACAGCCAACTTTTCGGAAGCCCGTGCCAATCTGCTATTACATTTACTCCGACAAGGGATTGACCTTCGCAATGCAGTCAGTTCTTTTTTGAGATCTTAAAATTCATCTTATTTCGCAGCTGTTTCTTTAGAAAAACACCGGCGCAGCTCACACTAGTTTACCGCTAGTTTCCATCATCAATGACATTGTATAATAACACACTACTTGGTATAAGTGTTGTTCTCTCATTTGTCCTGATGATGGACATTGCTGTCCGAAAGCCTTACTGATATCTACAGTACATAAGCAAGTCTTCTCTTTAGCTTACCTTACTGGCACCTGGTAACAGGTGTAGTTTAACGTAAGGATCTGACGTTCCACTTACATCCATCGGCTTAAGATCCTGGATAAATGAATAAGATCCAGAATACATGCTATTTCAAAAGCCTGCCTTTAGAGATTTGCATATTGACTAAAATAGGTTTATACACACACACCAGTATTTCTTTGATAAATTGCGGTACTGCGAAAACTTTGGTCTAAAAACTTTAAGGATCCTCAGGTGCTTAGAAAGACTATCGCACACAACACTGTAAAAAAGATCTGGCAATAAAGATATTTTATAATAGCTTTTTAAACACAAATTTCTAAGAATTCATTGAGATAAGTTCATGTCCTTGCGTACTTAAAAAAGGCCTCCCACATACAAGTATGTTATCGGAGGTTTTTGCAATGCTTTATAGGTTCTCAAACGAATATTGAAGGAAATAACTCTAGTAAAGTATTAACGCGCTTTTTCTTCTTGCCAACATAAAACACARGTAACCCATTTATCAGTAAAACACTTAGGATTTTACCTCAGCCGACTGTAGCACAACATCGAGACGACTGTCAAGTTTTTGATAACGTAGAGTGAACTCAATGGAGCCAAGACCTTGAAGGAAGAAGATCAAAAAGGTGTTAYTTTGACAAGGTCCAACTTGTGAAAAATGGTGGATCCTCCCTAACAATGGATAGGATTGGAATTGGGTGGTAACATGCATGGCAACGCGTTGGCCGATTAAGTTGGAGAAGGTTTTCAGAGCCATTTTAACTTGACCGTAAAATATTAGTGAAACAGACTAGAGATTAGACTCATAGAACACAACTTGACTATCTATAATAAAACAGTTAAAAAGACACAAARGAAAACAATGCAATCAGTGCGTACTAAGGTGTATCAGTGTTCAAACTATTTCAYGGATTGTTTTGACTTCACTCTAATGATTGGTACTACACTCTGAATCTATTGTTTTCGTTTGTTCTTTAACAACAATTACTGGCTAAAGAGCAATATTCGATGCACGTCAAATGAAAAACTCTTGCTCATTTTTGACCAATTGCCACTGGGGCTAGTTGAAGGGTGAATAGCGTCATCAGATAAATCATTATCCAGCGCATAAAATCACGTGCAAAAAATAACTTTATCGCACCCTTTGAGCAACCGACCCCAGTACACTTAACCTAAGACCAATAAGACGCAACATTTAATTGGTTGCACTGCCTAGTGTTCCATAGTCCTCKAGGTGTTGTTAATCATTGTATTCGTTACATTATTTTCGGTACGTATAGTTATTTATTACCTGAAGCGTTATCAGGCTTCTTTTGAGATTCCGCGTTTTCCTTGTAATTACGAACAAGTTCATCAATGTCCTCCTCATCACCCAGTCCACCCAGTTTAGCTCCATCACTTTTGTCTAGGGGACTGGTATCCATGGCAATACTACCACCTCTACTGGCTGTGAAAATATAGACGTTATATATTACGTTATATAAATTACATCAAATTTA